GCGAAATAGTGAATGCTGGCTCCGGGGAGAGGGGAAAATTTGTGAAGACGGGGTCTGAAAGACCGAATTAGTGAATGCGGGGTTGGGAAGGGGGGTATAGTGAATGCAGGGATTTGGGCAGACCGAAATATAGGAATCAGGGCCCAGGGAGAGCAGACATGGGAATGCGGGGCCCGGGGAGAGCGTATATAGTAAAGGTGGGGCCCCGAGAGAGTGAAAATAGTGAATGCGGGTAAGGGGAGAGCGGATATATGAATGCGGGGTCCGGGATAGCTGAATATTAAAATGCTGGTCCGGGGAGAGGGACATAGTGTTTGAAAGGGTTGGGGAGGGGGTGTAAATGCGGGGGTCCGGGGAGGCGAAGATAGTGAATGCGGGGTCAGGGAAAAAACGGTAGTGAATGGGGGGGTCGGGGGAGAGGGAATAGTGAATGGGGGTCGGGGGAGAGGGGGATATAGTGAATGCAGGGTGGGGGGGGAGAGCAGATATTAAAATGCAGGGCCCCGGGGAGAGTGGACATAGTGAATGAGGGGTCCGGGAAAGTGGACATAGTGAATGCGGGGTGGGGGAGAGAACAAAAGTAAATGCGGGGTCCGGGGAGAGGGGATATAGTAATGTAGGGTCGGGGAAGCGGATATAGTGAATGCAGGGTCCGGGGAGAGGGGGTATATGAATGCGGGGTCCGGGGAGAGGGATATATAAAATGCAGGGTGGGGAGAGAGTGGACATAGTGAATGAGGGTCCGGGGAGAGTGGACATAGTGAATGCGGGGCCCGTGGGAGTGGCATAGTGAAGCGGGGTCCAGGGAGAGTGGACATGTGAATGGGGGGGTCCAGGGGAGTGGAATAGGGAATGCGGGTCCGGGGGAGAGGGGGGGGATATTGGAATCCCGGGGTCCGGGGGGAGGGGAAATTAGTGAAGCGGGGTCCGGGAGAGCGGATATAGTAAATGCAGGGTCCGGGGAGAGGGGGATATTGAATGCAGGGCCCGGGGGAGAGGGGATATAGTAAATTTGGGGTCCAGGGGGGAACAAAATATAGTAAATTTTGGGGGTGGGGGGAGAACGGTTAAGTGAATGCTTTCCCGGGGGGAGAAGGGTTATTTGAATGGGGGGTCGGGGAAAAAAACGGTATAGTGAATGCGAGGTCGGGGAAAGGGATTAAGTGAATGCGGGGTCCTGGGAAAGCATAAATAGTGAATGGGGTCCAGGGAGAGCGGATATGTGAATGGGGGGTTCGGGGGAGTATAAATAAACAAGGAAATGATAAAAAACCTCTGAACATAAAAAATTAATTTAATAAAATAAATATATATTTAATTTCGATAATTTTAATATATTAATATATATACTGCATGTAATATATGGGTTAATAATTATATATTACAAGATAATATATATAAATAATTATATAAATTTAATTAACCATTATATTTGATATTTTTTTGCATATCCAAATAATGTAAATTTTAAGTAAAATTAATTTATTAATCGGCCTCACAATATATGTGATTATTTGCTCCATATAAATATTTATGATAGCACAAATTAAAAGTCTATGTTTTCATAATTTTTGTAATGAAAAAATAATATTATAATATAATTTCAATAACATATATATATTTCATACTGTATGTATGAAATTTTAATTTGTTTAACTATGAATATTAATTATATTTTATTTATCAATTTTTATAATACATATATGTAATTTATAAAATACATTTAATAAAAATATTAAATAATTCAATAAATCACCCAAACTTATATATATATATTCCATTCTAGAGAATACTTATAATTTTTAAATTTATTATTTTAAATGATATTGATTAATTTGCCAAATAAATTCTTAAGTATTTCATTAAAATGTATGATCAATATATTTTGGGCAGAATATTTTTTAATTAATTAAATGGTTTAACGCATTTTTTGCCCCCACCTGGCATTCTATATGGAAATAAATGGATAGAATACATGAGGAGCAATGATACATGTATGGGAACAATCTTATTCCCATTTCGAAATTTCGAGGATCTGATGGCGGCTCTTTTTGACAAATATGAAAGGATGAGGTAATTACTTGATGTATATTTCCAATGTATGACTGGAGGATTAAAAAAGCTATATTTATTGGACAATATAAAATCATTAACTATGTTTAAACTTCAAATCTTCTCTATCACTCTTGGTATGAAGTAATCAATTTAGACTATTTTTCACATCTGGACATTAATGGATAAAACAATATGGGACACTCCTCATTAGTATTAGGACACAGCCGAGCGACCCTGACCCATCTATGGGCCAAATCCACACAAACAAAAGGTAAATAGCCTCACCCCCATGTCTAACTTCAACCAAACATTTAGCTGCCATAACTGTGATCAGTTGCTTTCGATTCACAAAACTGGGGGTCTATAGCACTAACCGTGACCAGTGTTGTGCTGGCCACAAAGTCTTCTACTGTGGACCAGTAACACACAGTGTGCAGGCACTTCTAAAGGAAGAATCACCCCAGGATCCTTATCTGACTTTGCATTGATGGGGGGATGATTGAGGCAATCTGTCTATAGTCTTTCCACCCCGTTGTGGAAGGAAAGATATATGTTATATCTAATTTGCTATACTTGAAAGCTCCCCCCCTACACACAGACATGATTCTGATCTTACAATCTTCTTTACCTCCATTGCCTAATTGGATACAAACTGACTGGATACAATTGGGTAGGTCCTCATATGATATAAAGTTGTACAAACAAGCATAATATCAGATCCTGCATGGTAACATGGTGACCCTATAGACTATAAAATGTAAACATTAAAGTGTTACTATAAACCCACAACAGTACAATCAGTCTGTAGATGCAGTAAAGCATTGCTTGTGATACTCACTGTGGAATAAGGGGTTAATCCTCTGCATTTTGCAAAAAAAGGCTGATTGATCCTTTCTGCTCTGTTCCTCCCTTTTGCAAGCGACCGCCAATTATTTTCTGATAAGATAGACTGAACCGTAGGCATTTTGCACATGCTCAGTATAGTGTATATTTCTAGACTCGATTTTTTTTTTTCCTTGGGGAGAGTGCATGTGATCAGCACAGGGCCAATCAGCGCTGTCCAGACAGAGATCAGGGGTTCTGCATCCTTCCTACAGCAGAAAGGAAAACTTCTCCTACAAGCTTTAACCCAGTACTTTGCTGGACACTGATAAAAGTAAAAAGACTGCTATGTACTGCTGATGAGGAAAAGGTATTTAGCAGTTTATATATTACTAAAAATAATTGCATTTCCATGTTGATGGGTTCAGGGGGGAGCAGATATATTGAATGCAGGTCCGGGGAGACCAGATATAGTGAATACAGGCTCCAGGAAGAGACCAGGATATAGTAAACGCGGGGTCCGAGGGGAGATCACCCGATATAGTGAATGCAGGGTCCGGGGAGGAGAGCGGTTATAGTGAATGCAGGGTCCAGGGAGATTAGATATACTGAATGCAGGTTCAGGGGAGACCAGATATAAGTAGTATTGCAGGGTCTGGGAAACAAAATATTGTGAATCCGGGTCCTGTAAGAGCGGGGTCCGGGGGGAGTGCGGATATAGTGAATGCCGAATCCAGGGAGACCAAAGTGAATGCAGTGTCCAGGTAAAGCAGATATAGTGAATGCAGTGTCTGTGGAGACCAGATATGGTGAATGCAAGGTCCGGGGACGGGCAGGTGGGGGAGAGCGGATATAGTGAATGCGGGGTCCGGAGAAAGCGGATATAGTGAATGCGGAGTCCGGGAGGAGACCAGATATAGTAAATGCGGGTCCGGGGGAGAGCGGATATAGTGAATGCGGGGTCTGGAGAGAGCGGACATAGTGAATGCGGGGTCCTTGGAGACCAGATATAGTAAATGCGGTGTCCGGGGAGAGCGGATATAGTGAATGCAGTGTCTGGTGAGACAAGATATAGTGAATGCGGGGTCCGGGGAGAGCGGATATAGTGAATGCAGTGTCTGGTGAGACAAGATATAGTGAATGCGGGGTCCAGGGAGTGTGGATATAGTGAATACAGGGTCCGAGGGGGAAAACATATATAGTGAATGCTGGGTCCAGAGTGAATATAGGGTCCGGAGAGAGCGGATATAGTGAATGCGGGTTCTGGGAGAGAGCGGACTCAGTGAACGAGGGGTCCTTGGAGACCAGATATAGTGAATGCGGGGTCCCAGGAGAGCGAATATAGTGAATGCGGGGTTCTGGGAGAGCGGATATAGTGAATGCAGGGTCCAGGGAGACGGATATAGTGATTTCGGGGTCCGGGGAGGGGGGGGAGAGCGGATATAGTGAATACGGGGTCCGGGGAGAGCGGGATATAGTGAATGCGGGGTCCGGGGGGGAGAGCGGATATAGTGAATGCGGGGGTCCGGGGAGAGCGGATATAGTGAATGCGGGGTCAGGGGAAAGCGGATATAGTGAATTTGGGGTCTGTGGAGACAAGATATCTTAAATGCAGGGTCTGGCGAGTGCGGATATAGTGAATGTGCGGGGTCCGGGGGAGAGCAGATATAGTGAATGCAGGGTCTGGGGAAGAGCGGATATAGTGAATGCAGGGTCCGGAGAGAGCGGGACATAGTGAATGTGGGGTCCTTGGAGACAGATATTGTAAATGCGGTGTCCGGGGAGAGCGGATATAGTGAATGCAGTGTCTGGTGAGACAAGATATAGTGAATGCGGGGTCCAGGGAGTGTGGATATAGTGAATACAGGGTCCAAGGGGGAAAACATATATAGTGAATGCTGGGGTCCAGAGTGAATATAGAGTCTGGAGAGAGCGGATATAGTGAATGCGGGTTCTGGGGAGAGCGGACTCAGTGAACGATGGGGTCCTTGGAGACCAGATATAGTGAATGCGGGGTCCCAGGAGAGCGGATATAGTGAATGCGGGGTTTGTGGGGAGAGCGGATATAGTGAATGCAGGGTCCAGGGAGACCGGATATAGTGATTTCAGGGTACGGGGGGAGAGCGGATATAGTGAATACGGGGTCCGGGGAGAGCGGATATAGTGAATGCCGGGTCCGGGGAGAGCGGATATAGTGAATGCGGGGTCAGGGGAGAGCGGATATAGTGAATGCGGGGTCTGGGGAAGAGCAGATATAGTGAATGCAGGGTTCGGGGGAGAGCTGATATAGTGAATGCAGGGTACGGGAGAAGAGCGGATATAGTGAATGTGGGGTCCAGGGAGAGCGGATATAGTGAATGCGGTTTCCTGGGAGAGCGGATATATAGTGAATGCGGGGTCTGGAGAGAGCGGATATAGTGAATGCGGGGTCTGGGGAGAGCGGATATAGTGAATGCGGGGTCTGGGGGAGAGCGGATATAGTGAATGCGGGGGGGGGGGAGAGCGGATATAGTGAATGCGGGGTCTGGGGAGAGCGGATTCGGATATAGTGAATGCGGGGTCTGGGGGAGAGCGGATATAGTGAATGCAGGGTCTGGAGAGACCAGATATCTTGAATGCAGGGTCCGGGGACTCCGGATATAGTGAATGCAAGGTCTGGGGAGAGCGGATATAGTGAATACGGGGTCCGGAGAGATCGGATATAGTGAAGCAGGGTCCAGGTTAGAGTGGATATAGTGAATGCAGGGTCCAGGAACTGTCGATATATATAGTGAATGCCGGGTCCAGGGGGACCGGATATAGTGAAAGCGGAGTCCAGGGAGAGCAGATATAGTGAATTAGGGGTCCGGGGAGTCCGTATATAAGTGAATGCAGTGTCGGGTGCAGTGAATATAGTGAATGCAGGGTCCGGGGGAGAGCAGATATAGTGAATGCAAGGTCCGGGGAGAGCAGACATAGTAAACGCGGGGTCCTTGGAGACCAGATATAGTAAATGCTGGGTCCGGGGAGAGCGGATATAGTGAATGCAGGGTCAGGGAGATCGGATATAGTGAATACAGGGCCGGAGGGGGGTAACATATATAGTGAATGCAGGGTCCAGTGAAACCAGATATAGTGAATGCAGGGTCCTGGGAGAGCGGATATAGTGAATGCGGTGACCTGGAAGAGTAGATATAGTAAATGCGGGGACCTGGGAGAGCGGATACCGTGAATGCCGGGACCTGGGAGAGCGGGATACCGTGAATGCGGGGACCTGGGAGAGCGGATATACCGTGAATGCGGGGACCTGGGGAGAGCGGATACAGTGAATGCGGGGACCTGGGAGAGCGAATATAGTGATTGCGGGGTACAGGGAGTGCGGATATAGTGAATGCGGGGTCCGGGGACAGCGCATATAGTGAATGCGCGGTCCGGGAAGATCGAATGTAGTGAATGCGGGGTCAGGGGGGGAGAGCGAATGTAGTGAATGCGGGGTCCGGGGAGAGCGAATGTAGTGAATGCGGGGTCCGGGGAGAGCGAATGTAGTGAATGCGGGGTCCGGGGAGAGCGGGGAGAATGTAGTGAATGCGGGGTCCGGGGGAGAGCGGATATAGTAAATGCGGGGTCCGGGGAGGCCAAATGTAGTGAATGCGTGGTCCGGGGAGGCCAAATGTAGTGAATGCGGGTCCGAGGAGACCGGACAAAGTGCATGCAGTGTCCGGGTAAAGCAGATAGAGTGAATGCAGGGTCTGTGGAGACCAGATATGGTGAATGCAAGGTCCAGGGAGAGCGGATATAGTGAATGCGGGGTCCAGGAGATCGGAAATAGTGAAGGTAGGGTCCAGGTAGAGTGGATATAGTGAAGGCAGGGTCCAGGGAGAGTGGCTATAGTGAACGCAGGGTCCAGGGAAACCAGTTAAAGTGAATATCGGGTCCAGGGGGACCTGATATAGTGAATGCGGAGTCCTGGGGAGAGCAGATATAGTGAATGTGGGGTCCAGGGAGTCCGTATATCGTGAATGCAGTGTCTGGGTGGAGTGAATAAAGTGAATGCAGGATCTGGAGAGACCAGATATCTTGAATGCAGGCTCGGGGGGACTCCGGATATAGTGAATGCAAGGTCTGGGGAGAGCGGATATAGTGAATACGGGGTCCGGGGAGATCGGATATAGTGAAGCAGGGTCCAGGGTAGAGTGGATATAATGAATGCAGGGTCCAGGGACTGTCGATATATAGTTAATGCAGGGTCCTAGGAGAGCGGATATAGTGAATGCCGGGTCCAGGGGGACCGGATATAGTGAAAGCGGAGTCCAGGGAGAGCGGATATAGTGAATTAGGGGTTCGGGGGAGTCCGTATATAGTGAATGCAGTGTCCGGGTGGAGTGAATATAGTGAATGCAGGGTCCGGGGAGTCCGAATATAGTGAATGCAAGGTCTGCGGAGAGCAGATATAGTGAATGTGGGGTCCGGGGAGAGCAGATATAGTGAATGTGGGGTCCGGGGAGAGCAGATATAGTGAATGCGGAGTCCAGGGAGAACGGATATAGTGAATACAGGGTCTGTGGAGACCAGATATCTTGAATGCATGGTCCGGGGAGTCTGGATATAGTGAATATAGGGTCTGGGGAGAGCAGACATAGTGAACGCGGTGTCCTTGGAGACCGGATATAGCAAAATACAGGGTCCGGGGAGAGCGGATATAGTGAATGCAGGGTCAGGGGAGACCGAATATAGTGAATGCGGGGTCCGGGGAGATCGGATATAGTGAATGTGGGGTCCGGGGAGATCGGATATAGTGAATGCCGGGTCCGGGGAGAACGGATATAGTGAATGCGGAGTCCAGGGAGAGCGGATATAGTGAATTAGGGGTTCGGGGAGTCCGTATATAGTGAATGCAGTGTCCGGGTGGAGTGAATATAGTGAATGCAGGGTCCGGGGAGTCCGAATATAGTGAATGCAAGGTCTGCGGAGAGCAGATATAGTGAATGTGGGGTCCGGGGAGAGCAGATATAGTGAATGTGGGGTCCGGGGAGAGCAGATATAGTGAATGCGGAGTCCAGGGAGAACGGATATAGTGAATACAGGGTCTGTGGAGACCAGATATCTTGAATGCATGGTCCAGGGAGTCTGGATATAGTGAATATAGGGTCTGGGGGAGAGCAGACATAGTGAACGCGGTGTCCTTGGAGACCGGATATAGCAAATACAGGGTCCGGGGAGAGCGGATATAGTGAATGCAGGGTCAGGGGAGACCGAATATAGTGAATGCGGGGTCCGGGGAGATCGGATATAGTGAATGTGGGGTCCGGGGAGATCGGATATAGTGAATGCCGGGGTCCCGGGGAGAACGGATATAGTGAATGCGGGGTACGGGGAGAACGGATATAGTGAATGCGGGGTCCGGGGAGAACGGATATAGTGAATGCGGGGTCCGGGGAGAACGGATATAGTGAATGCGGGGTCCGGGGAGAGCGGATATATTGAATGTGGGGTTCGGGGAATGCAGATATATTGAATGCGGGTCCTGGAGACCAGATATAGTGAATGCAGGGTCCGGGGGGAGATCGGATATAGTGAATGCGGGGTACAGGAAGAACGGATATAGTGAATGCGGGGTACGGGAAGAGCGGATATAGTGAATGCGGGGGTCCAGGGAGAGCAGATATAGTGAATGCAGGGTCCGGAGTTTAGTAACACTACATATACTTTGGTATCTGTATAAATAGATGACATTAAAGATGCTCATACATGGGAGAATCTGAACTTAATGTAATGAGTGATCAGAACATCAAACAAATTCGCTTCATCTGGCGTGCTATTCAGTTCCAGAAGATCTCCCCATTACTGAACATTTGTTACCTAGCGCCATGACGTCCTATGAGTACAGAGCTCTGATCAGCAGAGAGAAATAGAATATCAGATACAATCCTCCCGTCCAATCACTAGCAATGCTGATTCCGGCCTCACACTGTCTGCTGATCCCATTCATGTTCCATACACAAGGAGATGATAGCACAATACGAGTCATGTCAGTGGTATTCTGTGCTCATCCTGTGTATGGAGATATCACCGTCTCTACACATGGAGGACAATATTGGGGGGTCTACTCCATTATAACATTTGTCTTATAAAATTCTATTTCCTGGATTTATAAAGTGATGGAATATAAATGATTCCAATAAAGAGAAATGAGTTCCATCCATGTAGAGAATAGTTCCATTCATTCCTGGGGGGGGGGGGGGGGGAATTCATTTCCTTCTGGTAACATTCTTCTCTTCTACAGATTGGATCAGAATCACCTGACAGACAGTTCCTGCCTCCACCTGGCATCTGGAATAAGAGCTAACCCAACACTGAGGGCACTGGGCCTGTCATATAACAGTCTGGAGGGTCCTCATTTCAGGGATCTGATGGCGGCTCTGACAACAAGCCGGATAGAGGGATTACAGTGAGTATAACAGGACTGACTGAGACAATCATATTCTGGGACAGATTCCATTGAAAACTCCGAGACCTCTATGCCTGGCCTGAACAGAGCAGAGACAATCACTGCAGACATTTTTCCATCAGATAATTGAACTCACCAAACACTTTGCAATCATGAATATTTTTCTTGTATGCAGGACGTTCCGGCAAACTATACAATGTGGAAGAATTCGGTATATTTAGAGATATAGAGTAAAATTTTCTGCCTCATTTCAGTGCCTGTCTTGCAGAAAGGATAGCAAGAAATTACAATGAAAGAAAAAAAAATGACATCATCCAGACATAGGGGAGGATACAAAAAAAATTAGTGCATTAAAAACAGTGACCATAGACAATACACGAACAAAACTGAGCTGCATGGTCGAGTTGCTAGAAAGAAGTCTTTAGTGTGCCAATGCCACAAAAAAGTCTGGTTACAATTCGCCTAATGAGCCAATGAGAAGAGGGCAAGGCCAAGCCGCGGCTCTGTCTGTCTTATGGACACAGAGAGCAGGTCTTGGGAGCGAGCACGCACCAGTGCCCCTATAGCAAATGGCTTTCTATTGGGGGCACTGGTCAAGGGGGAGGAGCACCAGTGGGGGACCCCAGAAGAGGAGGATTGGATTGCACACAGCAGTATAACATCTTTTTTGGGGTTTCTCTTTTTTTAATTTGTACCACTTTAACACACTTCCTGTCCTAGGATGACAACACTCACTGACTGCACTGTGTGTAGGAAAACAGTATTGTCACCCAAGCCTACACAACTGATTTGGGCTACAAACATCTTCTGTCTACATCTTCATTATGGGGGGGTGGAAATTATTCATTTACAGACACTTTCTTGTAAGGAAATTACTATTGTTTGTTTGCTTATCAGAAGAGTAGAAAGACAAAGCATTTCTGGAAGGATCAGCTTGTTACAGAAAGTACATAAATAAATTCACTTCAACTAATGCAGCCACCACATTTGGGCTTCATTCAAATCTGAGTGTAGCGGTTTTCAGCGTTTTTACAGCAAATTTTGTGCGTTTATTATTAGTACTAATAATAATAATAATAAAAAAATAAACACCTACATACAAATAAAAATACATTATTAATAATAATGATAAATACACAAATAAAAATAATCATAAAGACTATGTAACAATTAAATAATAATTAACCCATAACCCCCTAACCCTAAAAAAATAAAAAGATTTTATTATTATTAATGTATTTTTTGGTTTAGGTGATTATAACATTAATAAAAATTATTATTAATTATCATTATTATAAACACATGAAAAATACATTATTATTAATAAGAATAATTCATTTCATATATTTATTTTAAGGTTAAGGGTTAATTCTTATTTATTTAGTTAGATTTTTTTTATTTATCATGGTTTTTTTTGTTTATATGTGTACTTATTTTTATTTATTTACATTTACTTAATCATATATTTTTACTTTTTTTTTTTTTGTTTACATTTTTTCATTTGAGCCGAAAATCGCACAAAAAAGTGTGAAAGCTTGCAAAAAATGCGCCAATTGCACGTTTCTATTCTTTTCTATGGGAATAAAAACATGCCAAAGATGTGCAAATCTGACCAATCTGAGCTACAAAAATAGCTCCAAAACCTTTTTGTGCTTCAGCCGTTCTGCTTCAGGCGACTTGGAGTGGAGATGTGAACCATCTCCATAGAGGAATATTGATTTTTTTTTTTTCCCCCCCTGAGCGTTTTTGAGCTTCGAACTTCGCGCTGCAAAACGCTCAAGAATGGGGCCTTAAAGACTGGTAAGCTGCAATATGTCACAGTTTTGCTCTTGGATATAGATATAATTTAAACTCCTTCCCTGCTGCAGGGACCCCAAAACAACCTACAAAAGCTGACGACCTGTAGAATATAAACATGGTAGTTACACATTTTTGTTACATTATATTACGGTAACTGTTTTTCAAAGCTATGTTTTCAGTAAAAAAAAAAAAAAAAAAATACATTCAAATTACATTTACTGCATCCTAACATAAAGTGTGCCCATCAGAGTGCCATTTACCATGAAATGTGCCCATCGGTGTGCCTCTGAGAATCTTTTTTGAAGTAGAAACACACCCTACCTTGAGGGCAGACAGGGAGCAGGAGCCGGAAGAGGTAGCGAGCTGCAGGGGGCGGAGAATCTTGGTGAGGGCGGAGAGGCGCCCGCATGACGTCACATCGTACCCTGCGGGCAAAAAAGGAGCAGGAGAGATGCCGAGCCACAGGGGGCACACATGACGTCATTGGTTGCTGGAATGTCCACGGTCCCAGCAACCAATGACTGCTGAGAGGCGGGAATATGACACTTTAGTTTGGTGGGCTGATGGTCCAGACAGGAGCATTGCTTGGTTGGTGTCCGGACCGCGGTCCGCCATTTAATGATGGCTGCTTTATATCCTCTCTTCTAGGATCGTGAACAATTCTTTGTCACGTGAAACTGAAAGGGAACTGAAAAATCTGAAATCCCTCCGACCAGAACTGAAAGTTTATACATGATGAATCCAAAGGAAGAACCTCTGCTACAGCTGTGAATGGGACATTGCTCGGGATGACGAGAATAAGATTTCGATACGAATAACCTGACCCAAGAGGGGAATGAAACATCAAAGAGGAACTAATACACCCAGGAAAGGATGGGGGAGGGCTTTGTAACTGTTTTGTTCCCAATACTACTGAACATGAAGGGGTGACACTCCAGTCAGCCATGAACATTTTCCCCATAAAGTGACTTGGGAGACACGAATAAATCTGTGAAAAGTGTGGCGACATTTGTATTTGGAGTCAATACTTTGTAGGACCCCCTTTGGCTGCAATTCCAGCTGCAAGTCTTTTTGGGGATGTCTCTTTGCACATCTAGAGAGGGACATTTCTGCCCATTCTTCTTTGCAGAATCCCTCAACCTCTGTCAGGTTGGATGGAGAGCATCTGGGAACAACAATTTTCAGGTCTCTGGCCACAGATTGTCCATTAGATTTAGGTCTGGACTGTGACTGGGCCATTCTAACACATGAAGATGCTTTGATCTGAACCATTCCATTGTAGCTCTGGCCGGATGTTTCGGGTCGTTGTCCTGCTGGAAGGTAAACCTCCGCCCCCGTCTCAAGTTTTTTGCAGACTCCTTCTAATATTGTTCTGTATTTGGCTCTATCCACCTCCCATGAACTTTGACCAACTTCCCTGTCCCTGCTGAAGAAAAGCATCCCCACAACATGATGCTGCCACCACCATGTGGTGTGTTCAGGGTGATGTATATTGTTAGTTTTGCTTTTAGGCCAAAAAGTAGAATTTTGGTCTCCTCTGACCAGAGCCCCTTCTTCCACATATTTGCTGTGTCCCCCACATGGCTTCTCACAAATTGCAAACGGGACTTCTTATGGCTTTCTTCCAACAATGACTTTCTTCTTTGCACTCTTCCATAAAGGCCAGATTTGTGGATGTGCACGACTAATAGTTGTCCTGTGGACCGATTCTCCCACCCTGAGCTGTGGATATCTGCAGCTCCTCTCCAGAGTTCCCATGGGCCTCTTGGCTGCTTCTCTGATGAATGCTCTCCTTGGCTGGCCTGTCAGTTTAGGTGGACGGCCATGTCTTGGTAGGTTTGCAGTTGTGCCGTACTCTTTCCATTTTCGGATGATAGCTTGAACAGTGCTCCATGAGATGGTCAAAGCTTGAGATATCTTTTTATAACCTAACCCTGCTTTACACTTCACTACCACTTTATCCCTGACCTGTCTGGTGTGTTCCTTAGCCTTCATGATGCTCTTTGTTTCTCTAATGTTCTCTTAACAAACCTCTGAGGGCTTCACAGGACATACTGAGATCACATGACACACAGAGGAACTCTATTTACTAACTAGGTGGCTTCTGAAGGCGATTGGTTCCACTAGATTTTAGTTAGGGCTATCAGAGTAAAGGGGTCAGAATACAAATACACGCCATACTTTTCAGATATTTATTTGTAAAAACATTTTGTAAATCATTTA